GATGCACCCCGGGACACCGTTGGGCCTCTTGGCTGCAAGGGCACATTAGATATTTTCCTAGAAATAGGTACGTTCCTCTACCTTCATCTATTAGTTATTGATATAGGAATTTCTCCTTCTGAAATCAGAATGCCAGGGAGATTCTGGACAAAGACAGAGCCTCTGGTACAGAGTAGTTTGCATGATCCGAACGTCCTGTGTCTCCTGAGACTGCTTTGTACAGTAGCTGTTCATTGGCTTGGAACAACGAATGAATCCTGCTTGTTTCCTTTAAATAAAGTTTAAAACCTATCAACGCATCACTGTGACTAAGGAATAGTGGAATAGATTTCAACAGGCTCCTCGCATTAAATTACATATACTGACTGACCAGCTTTCTTAAACACATGCAGGATATGAATGAAGAATAATGTGCTGGAAGTTCAGGGACTTGAACCCTTCAAATAAAGCTACACCTCCGTCTTTAGCCCAGCAGCCACTACTAGCAATGAGATATTGAGAGCTTTTTAATGACAGATGGCATAAAACTCCGTCAGGTAGTAGTAGCCATCTACTGGCGTTTAACAATGCTCGTGTTGTTCCTAAGTTCAGTTTAACAAAGTTGTAGTTACATGCATCAGATGACTTCCTTATCAAGCAATTTGTAGCATGTATTAGGATTTGAAACAGCTTTTACTGCTTTTGTTCTTTGTTGTATTGAAGATTTATTTAGGAAAAAAATCAAGTATAGATATTTCCTCCATTCCCTCACTCTGGGCATACAAATCTGTTTCGTTGGTTTGGGGGTGCTTTTTTTTTTGTTTGCTGTCTTACCTCCCTCTCCCCCCCGATAATACTAGTATATATACAGATAGCATTTTGTCATCCGGAGAGTTGTACTGACATTTATAATAAATACATTTGCATAGGATTTTAGGCCTTCAGAGTTTTCAAGTGCTTCTGCTTTGTGTCTATAAAATCAATTATTCATTTTATTTTTATTCTTTTTTTTCCCCTCCTACACGCAAAAGTTCTCTAGCTTTCTGGGTCTTTGGATTTCATCCAAAGTTTTTGGGAGTTGTTGCCTGTAAAAGCATTCATGAGAGATCTGCAGTGGTCCAGCACAATCTATATTTAGCTAAACTGTTTTGTGACTGTTGATGGGGAGAGTATGCTAGATATTCTATAAATATTCGTGGTACTGTGGAGCTAAAATTTTTCGCCACAGGAGTTTAGTCTGAAAATGGCAGCAGTTTTCTTGGACCCACTTTGACATTAAAAAACAGGTTAAAGGGTCATCAGCTAGGACTTGATTTTCTGTTTAGAGCTTTGCCATTTCTTCTGTTGTTTTTCTTGTCCTTGAGGTGGAAGGGGTTTAGAGGGCAAGATCCGATCCTCTTCTGTAGACTGTCACACATAGCATGTTTCTCTGCAACCTGTTCAAATGGCTGAATAAAAGTGTATAGATGGAAACAAGGCTTAATTCCAAACTCATTGCATTATACATCAGGGCAAATGTGCCACCCTGCCGTATTCTTGCTTCTAGCATAGAAAGAAGCCTGTTATATAGTAATTTGAGCTGGTTTGGGCATTTCTCTCCCTAGTCCTAGCTTTGATGAAAGGCAGCCAAGGACACTGAAGTGATATATAACCCAAGATTCAGAAATCCCTGGAACATCTCTTCAAGCAATACTGAGACTCTGTCTCTTTACGAGAGCCTTTAAAGAGCATCTTAGCCTAATGTGGTTGCTGGTGTCCTGCCAGAAATTGAAAAAGCATTAAAATCGAGAATCCGCTTCTGATTTCAGTGGGTCTAGGAATACCTTACCCTGGTGAAACCAAGAATGAAATTTGCTCTCTTAGTGTGTGTTTTATGTGCCTGCCATTTTATGCTGCTTTCCCTATTTTTATGTTGGTGTGATAGCGCAACTGTAGTAAAGAATGAGATTGCCTGTTTTTTTAACGGCCTCTGACATATCCTAAAGGCTACACTTTGGCTTGGATTGTTTTGAAAATTATTTGGTCTCATGGAGGATGAGGGCAAATCTGAGTAAAAGATTCTGACCCTTTCAAAAGTGTTATTTAAAAGGGATAATAGCTAGTGTTGTCTTGAGGATGCAATTTGCAGTGGTAGGGGAGCCTTCTTAAAGTGATCTAGAGGGTGAGAAAGTCAAAACTAGGACGCTCTTGGAGATTTTCTAGAGATTTTCTGATTTGGGGTAATTTCCTACTGATGTAACTGAATGGCTGAAGGCAATACGTTCTGGTCCTTCAGCACGACCAACACCTGCAAACGGCAAATTCCCGTCTGTTCTTAACAACCCATCTCGGAACGCGTGCTGCGCACGTTAGTTGCCCTCTGCTTGATTCTGTAGAGATCTCTGAAAAGGTTTTGTCCTGAGTAAAGCTGCTAGCTGATGCACCAAAGTGCTTCAATGCCCACATACTTTTAGTTGGAACAGGGGTCTGAAAGGAATGTCAAATGTTAGAAAACAGTGTAGGCTTTTAGCCTTTCTGAAAACTACTAAACTTTAGCAAACCTTCACTAATCTCTTTTAACTTGCAAATGCCATAGAAGAAGCAGAGTGATCGCTGCAGGAACTAGGTCATAAAACACATGCTAAAACCCCCAAATAATGCTTCAACACCCTTTCCATTTTTATTAAAATGTTTAGGGTTTTTTTTTAATTTTTATTAAAATGGAAAACCAGATGAAATTGAAATTATCACTTCTCCAGTGGCAGAAATGGGCCATAGATAGATCTAGCGAGTGACTTTGGGGTATTTGCTCCAGGAATGAATTAAAAATCCTTCTTTAAAAGGTTTCTCTTTCTTTTATTTAGCCTCAACACAATGGAATATCTCCCCGAATGTTTAAGGCCTTTATAAGTAAAGGCCACCCAGAATTTTCCTCTAATAGACAACAAGACGCGCAGGAATTTTTCCTACACCTTATAAATCTAGTAGAGGTGAGAAAATCTCAATTACCGCTTCTTTTCCCTGGTTATAGTAGACAATGAGGGCAGAGCTTTTATATGAGTGGCTCATTTTGTTGTTATACTCTTTAGCCTTGGATATGTAGAAAATGGCAGTAATTTAAATGTATTTTGGTTTAGAAAGATTTGTTTCTTTAATTCTCCCTTCTCTTTACTTCAGACTCTTGCATGACCACAGACAGGGCCAATGCTGCTGCTAACGACTGCAAGAGATATAGAGAGGTCAAGCATCGTTGTACAGGCTATAAGATTTATAAACATATGTGACTGTCCTTTCAAATTGCCGTTCGTTTTATGATTACATGCCATCCATTTGTTTTCCATATTGAAGTCTGTCTTGGAATCCATTAATGAAATGGGTATTATGATGATCATTATTATTATTATTCCAAATTTATATCATTGTTGGGAGCAGACTAATTACCATATCCAGTTCTTTTACAAATCCCAGCTGTGCATCATGGAATCATTACAGGAGGAAGGACTCCCCTGCTGAAAGCAAAGTGAATATTTGTCAGTTGAATATATTCTGTAGAAAATGTTAGTTCCACTGAGCTCCAGCTCAATGCTGTGTGTAAAAGAATCAGTACTGTGAATTTTAATGCTGTCTTTCTGAAAGGAAACTTACAAATACATGCAGCTCTGATTTAAAGCATTTCTTTCTTGTCCATCCTTCCTCCCTCTTCTTCCCATTTTCCCCAAGAATCAAGGGTGTTTATTCATGTGTTGCAGTCGAGATGAAGTTATTCGCATTTGCATGCATAATGTTCCACATCCCAAAAGGCATGTACTGATTATAGGGTGGTGGAAGACATTTTGCTGTTTTTTGCCTGATAACAGACGTTAAGATGAACAACAAAGAGGAGGTATATTATTTGTATGACATTCCCATCTGGGTAATGAACTACAAGTTGCTTGTTCTGTTTCAGTGCAGATTTGGAGTGGCAGGAGCAATTCTATTTGCTGAAAGGATGCTCCATGGTATTTACCTGAGCTTTCTAACCTTATTGTAACCTGCCACCTTCCTACCTTCTTCTGTTCACCTTGACTCAGTCAGATTCATTAGGTACATACTCTGCAAGTTACTATGTGTAGAAAGATACTGCTGTGTATGCAGGCATTGTGGACTTCAGTGGGATTCTCTGGGGGTGCAAGAGTTCTGCATGCAATAAAACGCGAGCTGAGCTGTCCGCTCTGGGTGCAAGGTTGGTGTCTTTGTGCCTGCCATAAGACAACCAGCAGCCTTTGGGTTCTCTGGTCATTTTCATGGTCGTCACTTAAATGATTGGATCTAATATTCCTTTCAGAGGAACCCTGTAGGTTCAGAAAACCCTAGTGATGTTTTCCGGTTCCTGGTGGAAGAACGCACACAATGCTGCCAGTCCAGAAAGGTCCGCTACACCGAGAGGGTGGACTACCTCATGCAGTTACCTGTTGCCATGGAGGCAGCAACAAACAAAGGTAAAGAAACTGGTCCATTGACGGACCAGTTCTTCTGGTGGCTCTCTCAGCCATGAGGGAAAGAAGTTCTCACCCCCATGCGGTCTCTTTGTATGGACAGAATGGTTCAAGGCCACGTGGCAAATCAAACCAATGAACCGACCAGGGGAAAGTTACTTGGTTTGGTTTTCTTTAACGGAGATTTTAAACACACATCAGTTGTGGCTCTACCGTCCCTGCTTATATTTTTAGGGAAGGAGGATTCTACCTGGATACTCTTGGCAAGTTTTCAGACAGATTTCTTCTCAGACTGTGGGACGAACATTAAGTGTCACCACTCGGCAATATATCACCAAGAATGGTAGCAGTGTGTATGATAAAGATGTCAGAGATTTGTGATTTAAAACCTTAACCTGGATTTGACCCAGGGATGTGCCACACCACTTGTAGTACAATTTATTTACCCTTGTTTTGTGTGCGCGTGTGTGTGCCCAAAGATCCCTATTAGGACTGGATTTCCTTTGTCCTGGGCAGTGAACCAGTACATAAAAACTGCTTAATTCTAAAAAAGGTCCTGAACATACTAGTTAGTTAGTATCTTGTAAAAACAAACACACACTCTCAAAAAAAAAAAAGCAACCAAAAAACCAAATTGGCTTTGCGTTCATTAGCAGCAGATTATAAGATCTAACGTGATAACAGAGAATAGGAGTATAAGATACTTTGTCATCTATAAAGCCAAAATACACAATTTGGATATCCTGGGCTTTAGGAGAGGAGGGAAGGAGGATGAAGTGGTGGGCGTTGATTTAATATACCGGAGTGGGTTTTTCATGCCTGTGAGCTGCCTGAGGAAGCATACCTGTTTTTAAAGGAGAAAACGGCTGAGGAGGCTAGAGGACTTGGAAGCAGGAGAGAGGTACTCACAAATCTTGGTTGCCCTTGCAATCAGTGGTGAAGAGTCTTGCGGACTAAGATAATAAATGTGTGCTTGAGGTGGAAGTGAAGGGGACATCACAGGAACACTAGAAGGGGGATGTGCCTCTGGTTTCCTACATAATCTCAAAATTTAAAATGTTTTACAGCCAGAAGGAACTATTCTGATTATTTCATCAGATCCTTTGAAATAGCACAAGACAGAGAATTCCACCTACTGCTTTTCACGTAGCCCACAACTCCTTGAATTGGACAATATATTTTAAAAAGACCATTTTGACTTGAAAATTTAAGTTTTGGAGAACTTCTCATTCTTTGTTCATCAGTTTCAGTGATGATTCTGTTGCTTATAAAAGAGCATGTTATTTCCAGGCAATGGCTTGGGAGGTATATTAGTTTATGAATTTACCGTATGGCGCTGCTCAGCTTGCCAGTGTCAGGACTCTTTCTAGATCATCCATAATCCTGCCCTGTCTAGAAAGGCAGATGACACAGATAAACAGCAATAATTTTCTGAGTCAGATTGAGCTGATAAAGTGGGTAGTTGGTGTTGCTGTTAACACAGGATTCATGGCAAGGTTTTAACTGCCTGTTTCCCAGTATTTCCAGTTCTGTGTTTTCACCATGAACAGAAACCTTCAAAAAAGAGATGTGGTTGTAAGTGTAGCTCCTGACCCCAATGCAGACAAAAAGATCGGATGTCTAGTTAGAGCCATGTAAAAGTTTTTTATTGATAAGTAGGTTTTTGCATTTCTAAAACTTGCAAAAATAAGACTGGTGAGGGACACCATAACCATAACAATGTTCATTTAGCTTTTAGTGTCATGTGTATTTCTCAGATGAATTAATTGCCTATGAATTGAAGAGGCGAGAAGCAGAAGCCGCAAGGAGACCTCCACCTGAGCTCGTCCGTGCCAAGATCCCATTTAGTGCGTGTCTGCAGGCCTTTTCTGAACCGAACAATGTAGAGGATTTCTGGAGCAGTGCCCTTCAAGCAAAATCTGCAGGAGTTAAGTAAGTGTGTGTCTGGCTGCCTGGCAAAAACCTATATGGTAGTGCTCTGTGCTTATCTTGCTCCCTGGACATGATGTAGGGAGAAACAGACAAAGCCGTAGTGGGCTTTGGTGCTGTATTAGTGTGGGGGCTCTGAAATGCCATGTGCAGATCAAGCCTGACGAGGGCTGTAACGACCAGTTGAGCAGGAAATCAATTGTTCTCAATGTCAAACTCCCAAGGGGGGACGCAGGCTGGCTGTTAAGAGCTTGAACTTTAAATGCTTGTAGCTTAATTGTCTGCCCGCATCTTAAAATCGGATCCTGTGTATCAACTAGTGATGGAGTTCTGTATCATGTGGTAGGAGATACAGTCTGGATCTCTGTGCTTAGTCTCTTGATGTCTGCATTTGGCTAAAAGTGCCAAAGAGCATTGTGCGGCAACGCAACAGGGTGAAGCAAACGAAGGTTGTGTTTCTTATGAGAAAGTTCTTTAGATGGATGGAAATTTTTGCGTTTGTGAGGTGCTATGCTGACAGCTTTGGTTTTATTATGTTTTGTGTTATTTATTGTTTGTGTTTGGATTTCAACCCATCACCTTTGTATGTTACAGTATGTGGTTGCATCTGTTAAGTTTGCTGTCACTTACACGGAGCCATGGTACAAGATGGACATATAAAAGAAGGAACCCATCTTGTGCGTTTATAGTCAGGTAGATAAAAGAACCAAGAACATCTTGGGCTTAAAAAAGCATGAAGAAGAAATAGGACAGGAGGCAGAGCTCAGTGCAATTTTCAGGGGCAGTATTTCTTGCTGAGAACAAGAGTTAGTCTCTTATCCAGTTCCGTTTTTATGCCAGCAGCAAGGAGTTGTTGAAAGTTGGGCTCTGCAACTGGTTTGCTGTGGCTAGGTACCTTCTATTTTTAGATCGCTTAACGTATCAGTGGCTCAGTGCTGTCTTAGCATACAGTTTCACTGACATTGTATTGAAAACTGGGAGACAAGTGCACATGGTGGAGAAAAATGCAGCAGAAATCTAGAGGGTTTTTTGTATTAACTGTGATCATGTTGGAAGAACATCCTAGTCTTTAAATAGATCCAGCGTTAATTTGTAATTTAGCCATTCTTCATCGGCTAGATCTTTAAAAGCATTGAAAGATGAAGAATAATTTGCTATTTAAAATTAAAAAGTTTTGTGCTGCAGATGATAAAGTTACTAAAATGGCAAGATGGTGCTAACAAGAATTTAGAAAGCAGTTATTTATAGTATGGTAGGAAGGCCTTATATTTATGATGCATTTACTGTGTTTTACCCAGAGTTAGGTGAATTGGAAGAAAGGATGGTCTGTGTGAACGGAAGATAAAGGGAAGGATGCAGGAGATTAAATGGGGGAAAAATGGGAGCATAGAGAAGGAGAATGGCGGTACATATGATGGTACATTGTGTTCAAGATTAAACTTTTTCTTTTCATTAAGTGGGCAAATACCAGGCATCCCCTTAAACTCAAGAGTCATCCTCTATTTTGATAAATATCACAGTAGCTCAATAAGAATATAAGGGGGGGGGCGCTTATATAGCACTTTCATGTGAAAAACTACGAATGACAACTTTTTTATCTTTGCTTAATGAAATGCTTTCTCATTTCATGAGGGCTGATACCTCATGGGCAATGCTACTGTTACTAGAAAGGGAGTGAAAAAAATGCAGGTTTAATTGTTACTTCATTCTGTCCAAGCTGTGTTTTAAGGCCGTGCCCTGAAGTTCTAGCCAATATGTCATTCAAAATTTATTTCCTGACATTCAACTTCAGAACAACTTGAGTAAGCAGGTTTAATATTACTTGTAGTTGTTTTCTATAATCTTCCTACAAGCTGAATTGTCTGCAAGGGTTTGGTCTGACATTCAGGATATGAATGCAGAGAAAGCTACTACCATACTTCTCCACTGTACTTGAAAACTTCTTTGTGAAATTTATGTTTATAAAATCCATCGCTATTCATCTCACTCAGGGCTGAAGTTACTCGTCTCAGTGTGTATGAGGTACTGAAATCTGTGCCGCTTGTGATTTTGTTGCCTTCTTTCACTGAATTGTATTTCTTGTGCTTCCCAGGACTTCTCGTTTTGCTTCGTTTCCTGAGTATTTAGTGGTGCAGATAAAGAAATTCACCTTTGGCCTTGATTGGATACCCAAAAAGCTTGGTATGTGCTTTTTTATATTTACCTTTTTCTCATTCTATCCAAGATAATCTAAAAGGTGTACACACTTTGGTGTATAATGAGGACCTGGCTTGAGTCTCAGGTTTATACTGTGAAGATCCTAATTGAATCTTCTTTTGTTTTTAATGACAAATGAAAGCAGACTGTCAGGTCTGTGGAGTTAAAATACAGTTTCATGTAGTCTGACCTCCGAGCTAAATTGTGCTTTAGTGTTCCGGATTTCCCAATAACTTCTCAGGAGGAGAATCCTAGCTGTGTTTGTAGCTTGAGTACCAGAGTCCCCTCTCCGAAGGGGTAGGGTGCACCATGAGATCGTTTTGCTGGATTCATAAGCTTAGCCTGTTTCTCTGCTTTTGTAGATGTTTCTGTAGACATGCCAGATTTCCTAGATATCAGCCACCTTCGGGCCAGGGGTCTCCAGCCAGGAGAAGAGGAACTTCCAGACATTGCTCCTCCCATTATCATTCCCGATGACCCAAAAGGTATTTACTGACTTCTCTCCTGATTCTTTCCTGTATTCCCCTTTCCCTCCAGCACACACTGATTCTCCTCAATCTTCACCTTTTGGAGCTATGAACAAAAAAGCAGCTCTGTGCTTCTGCAATTGAAGACTGTTACAACACCCCACAGCTTTTTTTTCCTCCCTGCTATACAACCCTAGTTCTTCCAGCTTTTCTGCTTTGATGTTTTCAGGATTTATGATTGATGCTGTTGCTCTGGACTTTCTCCAAGTAATTCATATTAAATTGCTGTGCCCAAAGATAGACATCATATTTTGTGAAATAGATCGTTATTATTTTCAGCGCATGCTCGTGACTCCCTTTCAGTGAAGTCACTGTGCACTTCCCAGGGCCTGGTGCAGAGGACTTGGTCTCAGACCCCTACACTGGGTCTCATGATAGGTGTCAGAAGTGAAGTGGAGCATTAATCCACTCATTCTTTCCATTTGCATCAGAGGTGTTACTAAACTGCTGTTATCTTTTGAGCACTTTTGTACTAACCCTTGTCTAAAACCTGGCGATAAAGCAGTCTGGGTGATATTGTAGCTCAATAATCTCTCTGTTCTTGTGTACTCCCTTGTGTATGGTATATGGTCCGTTCTGGTCAGAAGGAATTTAAAACGTGTCAGTTACTATGATTGTTTGCTGCAGGATTTTAGTGTTACAGTTCTGAGCAGATGGTCTTCTCTTCAGTTGCAGAGTTGACTTGGATAACTTGAAACATTTTGGTTCAAGGTGGAACAAACAACACGCCATGTGTGCAGAATTGATTCATTCATAGTACAACAATACTGAATACACAAAGGACTACAATTTAAGAAAAAAGCTTTCCAGGCATAAATTAAGATTCAATATCTTATTATTCACTTTTAAATTACAAGAATTGTTAGGTTGCAGCAGGCCCTAGCAGCTGTGCATGCATGCATAGTCCACTTCTCTGGATGTATGTGGGCTGTACAGCCCATTAAAAAAGGCTCTGTCTCAAGGAGCTGATGTGTATCAGAGCAAAAGCTATGGCAAAATTCAGTTCTCTAAAGGTGTTAATTTCGTCCCTTATCTGTAGGTTCCTTACCAAAGCCTGTTCTTTTTTTATCCTCTTGCTCAAGGGACTGACCTAGTTTTAGTGTAAGTGCATGGGTGACGGTACCTTATTTATAACAAAGATTCTGGCTTAAGTTGGTTTAGGTCAGCCATCAGCTATATTTCCGACTGGTTTATAGTACCAATGGCACTTTTGCTCTGAGTTGAGTTGGGGGAATCACCGGGCAGAAACATCCCTGGTCTAATTCATGGCAAAAACATCAGGGATCTAAGCGTGAACATGACTTGCCTGTATGAGGTCAAATGTTCCTATGACTTTAAAAACATGGAATTGTTTTTCCTATATGAATCTACTTAGCCTTCATATAAGTCCCTTTCCCTGTTTTTTTCCTTTCTCAGATCGTATGACGAACCATTTCATGGAGTGTACGTATCTCATGTTTCTGAAACTGGTATTTCAGCTGCTTAAAAAATTGTCATGCTTTTGCTCAGCTAATGGCTTCTCTGTCCTCACAGAGAGGCATGGAGTATTGCCCTGCATGCTTCTACATAACAGCTGATTTTTGTACTTGTTCAGCATTTACTTGCATGTGTGCAGGACTCTCTAAGAGGCTGTAGTAGCATCAGTGTAGCCAGAATATGAGCCGCTCCTCTGTCTGCTGCTCATCAGCAGGATCTTGCAGTGCTGGGAGTCACCGCTGCTTGATCCTGGCTCCCTCCGGACTCTGATCTCGGCTGAAGCTGTCGGGCCCTGTCATTCAGAGATGAAGTTCAACTGGAGACTGCTAGATCCAGCAGCTGTTGTTTCTCTCACCTGTAAGATCCTGCCTTTAAGAGAGGTGATTGCTTTTGGCTGCTATCTCTAGCTAAGCTCAGCACCTAACTTCTTCACCCCTTGAAATGCAGTGGTGAATTTCTTTAATAAATAAAGTCCTGTAGGAATTCATCAAGGTTTAAGGACCTATGTAGATTACTGAGACAAAAGATTATCACTAAGTCCATACCAAATGCTATAATGTTTTGTACAAGGCTGTTTTCTAATGGGTGTGGGTTTACTGCGGTACTAAAACAAATGCAAGAGGTGTGTATTGTAATATGTGGCACCGTGAATCACAATAAGGAATACTATACAAGGGATGAAATTAGACTTTTATATTTTAGAAGGTCCTTTCTTGTAGCTCTAGATATTGACGAGTCTTCAGTTATGCAACTGGCAGAGATGGGTTTTCCTTTGGAAGCATGTCGGAAAGCTGTGTACTATACAGGCAACCTGGGTGCTGAAGTTGCTTTCAACTGGATCGTTGCGCACATGGAAGAACCAGGTCAGTGGTTGGAAGGTATAAGTTAAACTCAACTCCTGGTTGTGTATTTTGGCAGTCAGTAGAAATTTTATAATGTGCGACAGAGAAACAATGGCCCCCTTCCCCACCCCAGGAAGCCTGGAGGTGTGAGTGAATTTTCCTAAGCTGCTCCTGGGATATGCAGGTCTTGACCATTATGTGGCATCCTCTGCCTAGAAGAAGACAACAAGCCTAAGCTACACCAGAAGTACGCTCTCCTATCCTCAGTGATGGTGCGGGCCAGCTCTGTTTTCCACCCTTTGGCTTGGCCTGTGCTGCTAAGGGGGAAGCTGACTTGGGACCAAGTGTAAGTACAAAGAATCCTGTGGTCCGGATGCTTTTCTTCCACATCAGCCTTGTCTGGCTCAGGCTAGAGCATTCGTGCTGTACTTAGCACTTGGGCTATCTACTGATGGACGGGGCTGCTAGATGTTCTCCACTTCCTCTGTTTCATCCATGCAAAGTTTGGACCCGTGATTCAGCACTGAGTATAGCTGAGCACTCCCTTGCCAGGAAACTCCAGATTTGGTTGAGTTCACACTTCGCTGTGGGCTTTTGTGTTGCTTGTGTAAATGGGGAATGTGTTTCACTTGGGCTTAACTGACATATTTCAGCTATGGAATCAGTTCATTTTACATCTGTACATATATCAGCTGCGTTATTGACTACTCTGGTGTCATCATTGCTTCCATACCGGTCTTTGCTACTTTCCTGCAGTTGTTTCACTTCCGTGATGTGCCAAGTTGTTCCAGCCTGCTCAGTATGAGTTTGTCCATCTAGATATTTTGTAATGTGCATTGTTCATCTTGTTGTTTTTAAGGCCTTCTGCACATCTAAGTCCCAACTGGGCCAGTGAAATGAACTTACATTGATTTCAGGACTGCTTTTGAGGTCCTGTTTGTTGTTTGTTTGTGTTTGTTGTTGACTTTCCAGTTTAGTGGGGCAAAAGAACAAACTGATGAGTGTTTGTTTGTTCCAGACTTTGCTGAGCCATTGGTCATACCTGCATTTGGAGAAGTTGCTTCCAGTGGAGCAGCTGCGTTTGGAGCTGTTGGGCTAGATAACCAGCCTCCCGAAGAGATGGTTGCAATTATCATTTCTATGGGCTTCCAAAGGAATCTAGCAATTCAAGCGCTGAAGGCAACAGTGAGTTCCTTGAGTTATCGGTAGCACTTGGGTTTCATTTCGTATTATGTGCTTTGTACATGCGCATGCTCAGATGCCTTTGAAACGTGTATAAAAAGCCAGTGAGTGGATGATGCACATAGAACTATTCTGGCAAAGTGTGGGATGCCTGACTTGCCTGGGTTAGAGTGGGGAAGGTGGTTTGTGTGTTTCTCTTGAATGTTAAAGTGTGGAGGAAAGTGAGGAAAACTTAGCTTCTTTTACCGTCTGTTGAGAAAAAACCTGGACTATGCATCTTCAAGATGAGAACCCGGGGGCCACAGGGATTAATTGTGGGAGGATTTCTTTTCCATCTGTCAAGCTTCTGCAGAGTGCTTGTTGAATATTATTTTCCATGGAGGTAGAGTATGTATCTTACAAGTTTTAAGTGCTGTCGACCACGATCCTTACTCTGTTCAAAGACCGGTGACTAGCAGCATGACGCCAGAGAATGTATTAAAGGCTGCTCTTCTGCTCGTTTGACTGACAGAACAATAATTTGGAGCGTGCGCTGGAATGGATCTTCAGCCACCCTGATCTCGAGGAAGAAAGCGAGCCTGCTTTGGACATGATGAATATGGAGAACAATGCTAATGCCAATATCCTTGCAGAGACAGGGTCGGAGGGACCCAGGATCAAAGATGGGTCTGGAAGTAAGTTCTCCTTCAGCTTAGAAGTGGCTATCATGTTGTTTCATCACACCTACACCATTCGTAGAACTCCTTTCTGTTTTGAAAGTAGTTATCGTGGGTTTTTTTGGACACAATCCAGACAACTTACTTCCAGTCTTGCTTTTGGGGCTGAGTCCAGCTCTGTGGGGCTGCTAAGTTCTGTGGGCTGTGTTTGCTCAGGAAACTTTCCCTGGACTCACTGAATAACCTGAGTCCAAGTTTCTTGTTGCTGCAGCATATAAGTCTCTCCTGGCCTAGCTTTACTTTTTGTTCTGTTGCTATAAGATAAAAAGACAAAGAAAACCTAGAATGTTTAAATCTTCAGAGGCTGAGCATGCTAAAGATAACGCTGCTGTTACAGGCCACCTGAGTTTCTGTCCTCCTGTGGTCTGATAGGAGATTTGATAATCCCTTCAACCAAGTTCCTTATTCTAAATACGGCAGGTATAGCTGGCATCCTGCACGTATTGCTTTGCTGTTTTCTTTTGGTTTTTTCTTTGGGATCCTCAGTCATACTAGTGCTAAATAAACCACAAGATGGGGCTAATGTACAGCAGCCAAAGTTGTGAAGTAGGTGAGGAACCTATTGTAAGTGTAAAAGCACTAGAGTACAAAAGCTCAGCGGTGGTTCTAACATAAGGATGTCACATAACGTTTTTTGAAGGGTCTTTAGTGACCAATTCTAATAACTGCAGTATGTTCTAAACCTCTGAGCTTGACTGTAGTGGTCTTATTAAAAAAAAAAAAAAAAATCAGCCAATTTGATTTTAGTTTCTGTGGTTGCTGTTATTATACAAGAACATTCATTTCTTCATTTCTAACATTATAAAGACCAATCTGAAGTCTCTTGGAGACATGGGAAACATTGATTATCATTAGGTTAAAAAAAAGATTTGGAGTAATTATTTTTTGTGGTACTTAGCCTTTATAGACTGAGACCATTTACTGAGTGCCTGAAATCCTGATAACCAACATGATACTGTAAAATGGCTCCAGAAAGCCCTCTCCACCAAAATCCAGGCCCCTGTCCTTATGCAATATCCTGAAAGAAGGTACCCTTTTCCTTTTGGTGGTAATTTGGGTGAATGGCATGAATGGGTGGGGAGCAAGAACCAATGCTGAGTTCTCCGGAGACTCTAAGCACAAAAATTGTCCTCATATTAAAGGAAGAGGTTTCTTTCCTGTCCTTTCTTTCATGGGCTGCTGAAATTTAAACTCCTGTTTTTCCTTTGATTTATAGGGGATCTGTGATCACACTTATAGGCATAGCTAATTTGTGTGCAGAGTGAACTCCATATCTGGCACTTTCTGTGGTGCTCTCCTTGAACTGGGAATGAATCTGCTGTTTTCCCTTTCCTAGTAGGGGCTGTGCTCACAGCCCCGCTGTACCTGCACAGATCTATGTGGGTTTGACTTGGATTGGTTTGATATTTGACAGTGAATCTGACCACTAGTTAAAGCGAGGATGTGCTGCAGTCTTAACAGAAGCTGTGTTTGGGGATGCAGAGTCTGAGTCAGGAGTGCTTAGCTGCTTCTCCAGTATTAGAAAGAAAGGTTTCCCTGGAGTCATATTGCAACATTAGCGATAAAAGACTTATGGTCCCATTTGTATTTCTTAAACAGGATACGAGCTGTTTGGGTTCATCAGCCACATGGGAACATCCACGATGAGTGGCCACTATGTTTGTCATCTCAAAAAAGAAGGAAGGTGAGTGGAATTGGGAGAGAGACACAAGGATGAGTGAACGTTTTCTTGGAAGCGTGCATCTGTACAGAGCAGGGTGCATAGTCATGGCAGACAAAACATGCATGTCATTACCATGTATACATTTCCCGCCAAAGAAATGAAGATTGTTACAGATTGTAGATGCAATGAGTCAGTTCTGATTCTGCTGAGGTCTATGCTGAAATGTACCATCGGCAATCCTATGCTTGCTGTTCCAAATCTCTGTTTGTTTTGGGGCACCAGTTCTGTGTCTGGCTTTGTTTATCTGAGCTTCCCCCAACTTCCTTTCATTCCCCATCAATAGAAATGCATCAAACTATGGGCTGATACTAGTATGGGTAGTACTGCGGTGCTGATCTTGGCTGTGGTTTTGATATGCTCCTATTATTTGGCATTGGAAGTCCCTGATTTTCCTTCATTTGAACTGTAACTACACATTCTTCTGCACGTCCCTCTTCCTTTTCAGTTCCTGACTCTGCCAGTAAATCTGCTTCAGCTGTTTCTCTGATCTTTTGTTCTTGTTGCAATGCCTAATTTTAGATTTTAAGCTCTTTGAAGCTTGGGTCTGAGAAGCCCCTCATAAACTTGTGATGATTTTTAGACACATGGAATGTAATCAGTGTTGTTTTCATTTCATTTCAGATGGGTGATCTACAATGACCTTAGAGTCTGTGCCTCAGAACGACCTCCCAAAGACCTGGGCTACATTTATTTTTACCACAGGATACCAAGTTAGGCCTCAAATCTGTTACCTGGCCTTAAGAAGCCATACGCCTTTTTAACCTGCCCAAAAAAGTGTACAATGAAAAAGAAAAGCTAACACCAACAAAAGACCCCTAACCCTTGGACTGCCAAAAGGAAAGGAAACCATGGGATGTTTATAGTTTATTTAAAAACAGTCATTTAATGCCGCCTTAAGTGTTAGAGGGAAAATTTCTATTAGGTGATGTATAGTAAGTACGTTGTTTTAAGTTTATACACCTTAAAGGATACCTTAAGACCATGCAGATTACTGGTGGAGTTTGCAGCTAGTATGTGGAAAAAACAGAAGTTTCAGAGTTGAACAAAACCAGCGCGGTTCGGCCCAGATCCTGCCTGTTCTGCCCATGCCTCTGTTGAAGACAACGAAGAAATATTTGCATCTTTGGTAACTGGGAGCCAGTGTTTTCAACCGGAGTCCAGACCACTTAGAGAAATGATAATGCATACGAAGTTGGAGGGAGGGGGTGTGTGAGCATTCTTCAAAGCAGAATGTCTTACTTGAGAAATTATTTTCAGTACAGTGAGAAAAGTCAGCTAAAGTTGCATCTGTTGGAATTCAGGTTTATGGTATTTTGGTTTGCCGCCTTGATGCATAAGCCGAAGAAACTAATGGAGATGGAAGCAATCTCCTGTCAGTGCCCTGTACATTTTCTGCCAAAGAGAAATAGTAGATTTTATTTTTGCAGACATAGGTTTCTTCATCTTGTCTTAAATGTTTGTTTTGCAAGTTCTTCCAACAGATTCAGGATTACAGATGGCTAAAAGAAGCAGACTTTCTGACTATAAAATTAAATGCATACCCTCAGGAAAGGCAAGGCTATTATTTAATTTTTTTCTTATGAAGGAGGTGAAGAAGGGGTTAATGGCCCATTATATTTATTTCAGGGAAATTTGCATCTAGACCACTCACATTCCAGCTGAAATCAACTCCCTGACAAAGTACTCACAGTGCAATTCTGCTTTCTGCCAAAGATTGCTTAAATATTTAGTTCCATCCATGAGTGGGGGAAATTGCTTAGTAAAATTGCTGATTTATTGATTTGCCCCCCTCTCCTCCCTTAAAAAAAACAAAACAAAACAAACCCCTGAATGATAAACAAGAACAACAACAAAAACAAACAAACAAACAAACCCCGCTTTGAAACTATGTGTCAGCTTTCTGAAAACTTGCAAACACACCAATAATCTGATCTCTTCAACAGGCACCTTCTACAGGGGGGCTGTGTCTCTGGCAGGGATGAAGGGGGGTAGGTAGGGGCTGGCCTTTCCTGTCCTTTATTTTTGGGGTGTTATTTCAGTTTGTGTCACATACAAGAATATATAATGTGGGTTTTTAAATTGTATTTGAAAACACTAATTCAATACAATGGTGAGTGCAAAAATACAATGGTGAGTGCAAAACCTTTCACAATTCCAAAAGCCCCCGAAGGTTCGCAGTGTTGGCCACTGCTTAGAGACTGTTGCTGGAGTTGCCTCATATAATCTTACTGAGCCCTCAAAATAAATTGGAACAGTCAAAAAATAGAAAAAAATCCTCCTTACAGGGTGCAAGAGAGGCACGGAGGTGTAATTACATTTTTCTCTGCAGTCAGTGCCTGCAAGTTTAATAGGAAAATTCAGGCAGCTACACACTATAGACGAGAACCCAAATTAAAAATCGAGTTTTGAGTAGGGCATTTTATTTTTTTCCAGCGTTTGGAGAAAAATAGTTCTCCCTCTGGTCATATAGCCTCATGCAGAGCCAAAAAAACACTGTTGATTTTTTTTTTTTAAATAGTTTTTGATCTTAAAAGATTATGAGATAAATTCTAGTGCAATAATTCTGTAGTGTGTAAATGGTGCCTAACTGCTGGGAAAGCTTCCTCAGTGCTCTTACTGACACAAAAGAACAGCGTCCTGGCACATTAGTGAGTGGCTCCTGGGAGATTCAGCTGCCTTGTAATTACTGAGCCACCAGTTCTGGACAAAATAAAAGCTGCCAGTAATTTTTTTCCTTCTTCCAGGTTTTGAGTATTTGTGTATTTCACCAGAAAATGCCAGACTTGAAAATGGGATCAGCAAATTTCGCAGTGATACATCTATTTAAAGTGAAAGAACAGTATACTTCTGTATATCTGTGGTTTTGAATGCCCAGTTATATTCCAAGGAAGTTCAACACAACAGCTTCCCTCTTGCCTCGTGAACTCAAAGGGCTATTTGTAAACAAACAAGATCTGCTGGCCACTACATTTTTATTTTGAAACCTCAGGTAAATAAAGAGTTGTTCCCATGTTCATTGTTAAACTGGAAACGTGGCTGGTCTCGTAGGACTGAGGATGGAGCTTGGACTCTTGCAGACCATTTGTCTGGTACATCCTAAAACTGGAATGGCTGTGGGACTGGCTGCTGTCAGTGAGTCGGAGGCACACTGGGAAAGCTGGCAGGTGATAAACTGGAAACGGTAAATGGAAGGGGAGAGCCACTGGCTGGCTGCGATAGGTGAGCCGTACAGCTCGGCTTCTGAAAGGCTTGTCAGTTCCTCGCCCTCGCGTACTGCCTGCCGAAGCTGCCGCGCGGGTCAGGAGCGCAGGCGGCAGTTCAGGGGAAAGGCTTACGGATCTTCTAAAATTTAGTACTTGAAAATATGTTAGAGTTCTTCAGCTGTTTGAGGAATTACCACCTCCCAAAGTAGTGGCTTCCCTCCTTTTTCAAATGGCCAGTGAAGTCATCTCACTTTCGCGATGGGATGTGTGTGAAGAACATCATGAATCTGGAGGAGCAGGGTGTAAACTCCTGACTCTTCAGTCTAATGTGGGGGAGAGGAGTTTGGGTTTTTTGGTGTTTGTTCTTTTTTTTTTTTTTTTTGCTTGGTTGGTTTTTTTAACCTTCAGCATGCAGAAGCCGCAATCAGACGGACTGAATAGGTGACTTAATTTAGCAGGCTTTGCCTGCTAGATTTTGTATGCACTTAATTCTGCCGGGCCAGGCCTCGGTGCGTGACCTGGGCAGTGGCTGGTGGGGAAACTCCGTGTGGCCGGGTACCGACACAGCTGTCGGGGTTAGGTGTGCTGAGAGCCTCTTGACAAAAACGGGGGAGGAAGAAAAATCACTGAGCTGTTTGTGACAATCTCACCTGAGAATTATGGCAAGCCAGGCAGCAAATAATGCTCTTATTTCTCGCACTGATTTTTACTTTTTCATATGATACGTTTAGGTTAGGGGAGTAGAAGGAAGAAAAACTCAAGATCTTTTCCTTGTTTTCCGTTTCCCCTCTCATTCCTAGCAGCATGCTGGATCCAGTAGACCCTTCATTCTGAGTCACAATCTCCAGGCTCCAAAACACATGTAGACACAAACTCCTATTTAATCTTCCTAGCTAAAATATAATTAGGATAAAAAATTAATTTATTCAAAGCTATGGTTTAAAAACAAGCCTAGATGTTTCTGGGCTACTATCATGTGTAGTTCTGCTGGGTTCAGTGGTATTACTTCTGACTTTGGTGTAACTGAAAGCAGCGTCAGCCCATTTTCTTTGAGTCAGGCAGCCTCCCCTGGGTCGTAGCGCACGTTCTGAGTACGGATGCGACCAGAGCTCGTGAGATTGCTTTAGAAGCATCTCCAATTCATTCCTTTTGTTCTCCATCCTGGCAGCAGCCATTTTTATCTTCTGTGCTGTTTTCATGCATTGAAAGACTATGCAAAATATGTAACTGGATATAACTTTTTATTCTTTTCCCATTGCCCTTCCTACCTTAATGGCTGAGATCAGTTTCTGATTTCTGTTCACTCTTCGGTGGTTTTACTGTTGTATCCTGGAAGCGTCTGTACTGGTTTTACTTCGCACCATTCGGGGTTGTTTGCTTGGAGCACTGTTAACATTTTGGAGAGTATTTGTCTGAGATGAGAAAGGTTGTGAAGGACATTGTTGCACCTGTTTTAAATTAAAAAGAAATATTCTCACATCTTTTGACTGTGTGGATTCTTGCTTCTTTCTTTCCTGTCTGAACGGAAGAGGAATAGACTGAGTATGTTTTGATGCTCCCTCCTTTCTTACTCTTTGTGGTCATGTTTGGTGTTTTACTTAAAAAAACCTGCATAGGGAACAGAGAGGTTTGTGAGAGTCTTGATTTCTTGTGACTTGTGGCACTTTTATGGATGGAAAGAAAATAAAATCAAAATCCTCAAGCCCTGAGTTGATATAAAACACTGCAAAAATAGAAAATGAGATTTAAACTAAGATTAGTTTTTTGGTTTTAACTTTTAAGCCAGTTGATGTTCTTTGAACACAAGAGTTTGCAATGTTCATGTGGAAAAGTGTTGTCGTTTCACCCCCAAATTCCTGATGTTAAATCTCTTTTATGTTTTTGAACACAAGAGTTTGCAATGTTCATGTGGAAAAGTGTTGTCGTTTCACCCCCAAATTACTGCTGTTCAATCATTGTTTTATCTTGGTCTGTAACTCCTCATACTCATTTAGAAATGCGACTTGCTGTTCAGTAAAGGAGAAGTCCTTTTTCCTCACGTGTAGGGGCTTTACGTAGCAGTGTGACCACTGGGACTCCTTGGTAGATGCAAGAATAGCCCAGAAACGACGACTGAGGGATGGCAACCCTTTCATCCTTGTATAGCATCCTGGGACCAGGCACTGGTGGAGAGGTAAGAGGTGAACCTACCGGGCTACGAGGGAGATTTCCTGACATGGAAGTAGAGGCCGTGCAAAGTGTTGAATGATAAGAAAGGTGAAGACAGTTCAGCCCCTGAAGTCCAAATTCAATGATCTGTTTCAGTGTCTTTTCTATCACAGATGTCCTTTGTGACCGCGGCAAGTCACGCCATGCTGTGTTTACACTGCTTGTAGCAACTGGAAGAGGTGGGAGAACGTGGCTCCTTGTGCAAGCTCAAGGGCCCTGTTCAGACTTCACGCAGGAATTCCTTGTACAGGATTCGTGCCCGCTAGCTTTCGCAGACTGCCCGTGGAAGGCAGGACTGGGTAACTGACAAGTGAACACCCGCCGGCCCCTGCTCCCCCCGCTGAAGGGGGAGTAACACCC